GAGGAGGAGGGAGAAACGTGGGATGGAGAAAGGAGGAGGAGATTGAAAGGAGGAGGATGGAGAAAGGAGGAGGAGGAGGAAACGGGGAGGAGGGAAAAACGTGCAGAAACGTGGGATGGAGAAAGGAGGAGGAGGAAGAAAGGAGGAGGAGGAAGAAAGGAGGAGGAGGCCCGCATTCGTTCCACTCGTCCCTCGGGATGATCCCAGAGGATGCTCCGAGGACTGGCCGCGGGGAGTCGTATAATGTTATACGCAGCCGCGGGACGAGTGTTTGGGCGGTGGTCCTTCGTGTGGTGTCCGTCTGGCTGGAGTTGGTCCACCGCGTATGGGCGGCAAATTTGAAAAGGGACTGCCGCCGCCGCGGGAAAAGGAAAATTGTGCGCGCGCGCGTGTGATTTCCAAATTCGAAATTTGAATCGGCCAAGCGTGGCGTCTGGTGCGGCGGGGCGGGGAAATGCGTGCGTGTGACGGCCCCATCGTGGAAGCACAGGGGTGTTGCAGTGGGCGCCATGCGGAAACGGCGATCAGCACAGACGTCGCCACGTATTAGAAGACGTGACGCACCCTGGGTACGACAGCAGCATTGAGCGCCGCCGCCGTCTTGCATGTTCGCTTTCGTGCATTCTGCCCCGAACGCCATCTCCGCGAACTTCTTCGTTGCCAGTGTCCATTGGTGGCGGCCTTGTGTGGTTGTTTGGGCGACTTCTGGTGGCGTGGATGAGTGTGATGTCTTCCGTGGTCGATATGCTTTCGGTCGGTGGCGGGGATGAGGGCGGGCCAAGGTTGTCCGCTTTGGAGAGGGCTGCAGTGACGTCCGCCGTCGTCGCCGTCATCATGCATTGCGAGACGGAGGTCGAAGTCGAACGACATTGGGCACGGCTACGCGCTCGAAGAAGGAAGGCGATGCAGACGTCGACGTGTGAAGGGTTGGATAGCGTCGCCATCTGTGACGCCGTCTTTGAGGTATGTTGCGCCCTGGGGTGTGGGGGACTGCCTAGGGCGACCCCGAGGTGGTGGGTGAAACGAAGGACGGGGGGGACCTGGGAGGATCTTCGGCCTGCAGACGACGCCATTGAAGACTACTTCCGCGACAAATTACGGATGTCTCCACGTGTCTTCCGTGAGATCGTTGAGAACTTGACGCCGATTCTCGAGCGACGTGTGACGTTCTACAGAGAGCCTTTGCAGCTAGACCACATCGTCGCCTACGCGCTTTACAGATGGGCGTCTGGCGAGACATATGAGAGCAGCACCTGCAGCTTTGGAATTGGCAGGGCTTCGGGTTTGGTGGCCGTCCGGGACATCACAGCTGCGCTGCTTTCGGTGTACAGGGAGAAGGTGGCGTGGCCGGCTGGGGTGCGGAAGGCGGTTGTTCTATGTGCTTTTGCGGACAAGGGTTTCCCGAACTGTCATGGGTGCATCGATTGCACCCATATCTACATCGACAAGCCGGCGAACGCGAGTCCAGAAGACTACTACGACCGCAAGAGACGATTCTCTGTCATCGCTCAAGTTGTGGTGGATTTGGACTTGCGCGTCCTCGATGTGTTCGTGGGTTATCCGAGGAGCTGCCACGACGTCGGGGTCATCCATTTGTCCAGTCTTTGGTCACATGCGGCGGCGGGTGAGTTGTTCACAGGGCCTCCTGTGTTGCTGCCGTTCCAAGTGCAGACCAATGGTTACCCGCTGACAATAGTTACCCGCCGAGCGAATGGATGGCTGTCCCTTATGGCGGCACGGCGCAGACTCCGTTCGAGGCCCGTTTCGACAACAAACAGAAGACGGCGAGGGGGGCGGTGGAGAGGGCCTTCGGGAGACTGAAGGGAATGTGGCGGTTGTTCCTTGGATCGCACAAGACAAACATGGAGACCTTGCCGCAGCAGTTCGTAGCTGTCTGCATCTTGCACAACATCCTAACCGACGCCGGGATCCCTTTCGATGAGAACTTGCTGTGGGAGGTGGACGCCAACGGAGTTCGCCGTCGAGTGGATCTTGGGATCCAGCGCCCCCCCAGGCCTTTGTGCATGGAAACTTCTACAGGGGAAGCGGTCATGCTGTGTGAAGCGCTGGCGGGGCGAATGATGCAGCGATGAGAGATGTCGGAGGCGCGGAGCGGAAGTAGATGTGAGCTGTGTACGTGGAAGGGCGTTTGACGGCGGCAGTAGAAGGAAGCAGCATGCGGAGAGACGAAGGAGACAGTAGATCGTGTGATGCTGTCGAAGTCATCGCCGTCATTGTCGGACGAAGACCGGAGAACGTCTGTGTAGTCTAGTACTCCCCCTCCAGTGTGTCCTATACATTCAGATAGTTGACGAGCGTTTTTTCTTTTTGTTTTCTTTTGATTCGTGCTTTCACATTGACGCGTTGATAGTGCTTTATCCCCAGTTTATGCGCAAGCCATAGGGCGGCAGATGTGGTGGTGGCGGCCGATCACTGTTGTCTGTGAACCACATGGATGCGGCATTCGGGTCTGTGGTGTGCGACACACGCATGCATGCGTCCGGGTTCCTTTTCCCCGATTTCCGAAGCGCAGTACTGCGCACAGTATACTTTTTATTTGTTCACAAGGGTTTGATGATTATTGTTTTATGTTCGCCGAGTTTTATTGCTTGTCGTGGACTATTTTCTTCCCTTTCATGTGCCCTGCGTGCCGAGATGAGGGCGCACTTTCGTGCGCGATGATGTGAATGAGTGCAAGCCATTGATGATAGCATTCATTTGACTTCACGTATGTCCATGGTCCAAATGTTGGAGTGCATATGTTCTGTTGCCAATTATTCGTCTTCATCTTCGGGAAAGTGTTGTGAATGGTTGAACGATGAGTGCGCGACAAAAGAAGGTCACTGACTGAAAACGTCAATCTCTCATGCAGAATTCATTCACCTTATCACCCACAACTTTACATAGAAGCTTTGCAATCGGAAAGAACAAACATAAGAAAACACGTCTGCGATATAAAACGAACGTTCGCCATAGCACACGATATCAAATTAGCATCAATGATACGCATAGACATGATGGACATTAATGACACCGCACATTCGACGATGACTGGCCCCTTGAATGAAAAGACGTGCATGTTGACTACACTTTGCTGTCAACTAGATGGACATTAATGACACCGCACATTCGACGATGGCTTCCCCATTTTCTCCGTTACTGCATTGACACACTGCAGAACATGGCGGCGCGCGTCGAACGAGCGATGCAGCGACGCAATGAGCTCCACGAGATGGGACGCCTCATAATGCGAACGGAGATTATCTCCCGCCATCCGCATGATCCACATGGCGGTAGATAGCAAAAGGCGCATGCAGTCTGCTACGTTCCTCAGCCTCTCGTACGATATCCGCCCGCCGTCTACCCCCTCCCCCGTGTCAACAGCATTCGTGAAAGCTCCCACCAGACGCCATCTGGTATATAGGTGGCATCATATGAAGCTCCAAGGTGTTATGGACGGCCGCCGGACTCACACATACCCGCCAGTCCTCTCCAGACCAGATGGCGTGGGCGAGGTCTGTGGCGACGTGGTTCAACACATAGCCGTAGGAGCAGTGGTACCCGCACGCGCGATTGGGGGACTTGAAGATCCACCCATGGATGATGTGCAACGCTATGGTCTGCACCCTCGAAGCCCTCTCCTTGGCGGCCCCCAACTCCGACACATCTTCCAGCTTCTGCAGAGGGATCGTGGCATTCGGGAGGAGAACGCTTTTTCTGATCTCCGGCGGTTTCACACCCTTCGCGATGGCGATGAGGTGCAGGCGTGTCTCCTGGATGATCTTGAACATCCCATGCCCCTCCGTCTCGTTCCAGAAACGCAGATCGTCCACCCACAGTTTCGCTTTTGCCTCCAGAGCCGCCATGTTTCCGGATCGCCTCTGCCTGTTAATGAGGGGATCGTCGTCATCAGCATCATCACGCCCGTTGCCACCGCCCCCTCCTGGGCCTGTCGTCGATATACCAACGACGGCTCCCACCGCTGCGGCTTCCTTTGTGGGAATGTGCGTCGCAACCTGTCCCCTCACTACCACATTCACCCTCACCCCTTCATCCCTTCTCGCCTGTCCCGCCGTGGGCGTCGCTGGGTTTGAAGGCTCCCGCATTGGCGGGTGTTTACCGACGTCCTGGGCCGCCTGCATGTCCTTCAACGGCATGGCGCCGCGCATGGCAGGGGTCGTCGGCTGGCCACGCTCCTCCCTGGCAGCAACACCGCCTCCCACGTCGCCGGTCGCCTCACCCTTGCCTCGCGCAACCCCGTGACCCCCATCTTTACCACCGTCGACGCCTTCCTCGCCGCTCACCATTCTCGCGTTCGACACTTCACGCAAGGTCCCTTTCCTCCCATGAAACGTGTCCGCCTCCGATTCGAAATCGTCGTCTTGTCCGCTGCTGGCCTCGTTAACCCACTCTTCCCGCGCGGACCTCCCGATCACCAGAGCACCGCCGCTTGATGCCTTGGGCTTCTTCGCCTGATGCAACCCCCGCTTCACGCCGCCGGCAACTTCCGTTTTCTGTTTGCCTGATGCCTCCACCGCTTCACGCCGCCATCAGCTTCCGTTTTCTGGGAGTCCCTCTCCTTTTTCCCCTTGCCAGAGTTGCGAGTATTCGTCATCGCCGAAAAGGCAGACAGTGATGATGGCAAGGACGAAAAGACGACAACTACACGGCTGCCACAACGATGCCCGACCGAACGGGGAGAAAGACGACCGGTCGAGAAGAAGGAAGGGCGAGAACGATGGCGGCGAGGGAAAGCCTGCGCAGGTGGAGTCCAAGCGTGAATACGACGTCTGGCGAAAACGGCGTCTGGCAAGAGAGATGGCGGCGAGACACACGTGCGCGAACAGGAGTCCCAATGTGAAGACGACGTCTGGCGAGATAGATGGCGGCAACACACACTGTGCAAACAACAGTCCCGACGTGGAGATGACGTATGGCGAGATAGATGTCGGCGAGACGAACAGTGCGCGAACAGGAGCCCCAACGTGAAGATGACGTCTGGCGAGATAGACAGCGCCGAGACGAACAGTGTGCGAACAGGAGTCCCAACGTGAAGATGACGTCTGGCGAGAGAGATGGCGGCGAGACACAAACTGCGCGAATAGGATTCCCAACGTGAAGATGACATCGGGACTGCGCGATGGCGGCGAGAAAGGCAGTGCGCGACGAGGAGTCCGAAGGCGAAGATGTCGTTTGGCCACCGGCTGTGTGGACAGGTCATATAGTGTTCGTGGCAAATATTCGTCACGTGCCGGCGACAGTGCACAGGTTGGCTACAAGGGTGAACGGAAGGGCTAGAGGGCCAATTCCATTTGCAACCCCCTTTTTCGACACACGGACGGTGGGTATGCGACATTCCGCCAATCAGACCCCCCCAAAATAAAATGAACACTGCATGTGTCGCCGGCCGAAAAAAAAAAATTATGCAGTGGAGGGACTGGCCGTGTCATAGGAGTCTGATACGCACGCCCGAAAAAAAACGAAAAAAAAACAGAAAAAAAAAAGGTAAAGGGAAGTCCAACATACAAATTGAATTTCAAACTTCGAAACTTTTTCGAGGGAAATGTGACATGGCGTGACATACATAGCAACACCGTTGATTAAACAAATGTTCATTCAATACGACACAAAAAACGAAAGACGTGGTGCCCAGAGACACGTGTTTACTGCAAGGAAAACAAACATCATGCATTGACGAGAGCCAAGAAAACGTTCACATCATAACAGCCTGCCGTATTGCAAATCAAAGTTCTCTCTCTCTCTCTCTCTCTCTCTCTCTCTCTCTCTCTCTCTCTCTCTCTCTCTCTCTCTCTGTATCCACTTCGCAAACTGAAGAAATGAATCAAACGGTCGTCCAAGAACCTATACCCGCCAAGTTCATCATCGCAGTGTGGTCGGATCATCCAACCACCTTCGGATTACGAGCACACTACAACTACGGCCGTAGCGATCAACTAATTAGTAAAAAAACAAGGGCAATATGCGCTCCACAATGAACAATGGAATAAATCCACGGAGAAGACAGACAGACCGACAAAAGTACGCGCACGACAGGCAATCTGCCACTACTCTACAGACACAAACCGAAAACAAACCCATGCCACGAAATAAACCACGAGTGCGAATGAACTCAATCCGACCTAAGCACACGACACATGCGTGGCAACAGAGTGACATCCATAGCCGAAAAATGACACGTGCCTAACTTTCTCCTCTACCGCTCTCGTATAACCTTCGCTATTTCCATCAGCGCCTGACACATAAGCTTGCTAACTTCGTTGGATGCAGCGCAATGTTGCTTCTGGACCTCCACCTCCGCTTCGATAGCCTCACACTGTCGAATTTGAATGGAGCATTGCCTCTTGCTCGCGCTCTCCATCGCCTCGCATTGCCTCATGCTCGCGCTCTCCATCGCCTCGCATTGCCTCATGCTCGCGCTCTCCATCGTCGACGCCATCAACGCCTCATGCTTCTCCATACACTCGCTTAAGGCCTCGAATGTCTGCTGCCGCACGTTTTTCCTCTTCCCGAAACCAGCTGGACTTCCAATCGTCTGTGAGGCCTCACGCGCCGAGTTGTCGTCTTCGTCGTTGCCTTCTCCAGTGGCATCCCCGTCCCCCACAGATTTCGGAGTAGCCGACTGAGCAGATGGGAGTTGCACACCTCCTGCGCCACCGGTGTCTGCAACATTGCTCGGGCTGATAGCGTGGCTCCTCTCATTCGCCCCTTTGATCTCCTCGTAGACGGCCCTATCCATGTTGAAGTTGAATCCTTTCTATGCCCTCTGCTGACTCGTCAACTGGATGAAGTCCTCCTTCCCCGACATGCCCATGAAAGTGTGGATCTTTTTGAACTGTTGCATGAGATTATCCCATTTCTTCCCGCATTTGTCTTCCGGCCTGTCAACACCGACCTTCAGCAACCTCTCCCGGACGTCCAACCATTTCCACTCCCTCGACCGCATCCGTGCGAATGCGTGCCCCACCGCTTGTAGTTGGGCGTCCTGATCCCGCTTCGCCCTTATGAGCGCCACCATGTGATCCACAGACCAGAAATTCCGGCCACCCTCCCCATCCCCCTCACCTTCCGCATCAGCAGAGGTCGCCAACGGCCTCTTCCGCCTCCGCCCAGCATTCGTCGAAGCCCTGCCTCTGCCGCCCCTGCCACCCATGTTTGGCGCACGCAACGGGAACACGTCACCGCTGTCGTCCTCCTCAGCGTCGCACCCAACTTCGTCACCGTCTCTCCAGACGTCACCCCCCTCGCCAACCGCGTCTGCTTGCCCGACCCGCTCGCCCACGCGTAATCGCTGCACACCTTGCGTTATTGACTCTTCTTGCTGCCGCCGCATCTCCCGCCTCGACTCCTTCCATACTCGCCTGCCATCTTCACGCGCGCCCTCGAAAGGGAAGTCTTCCGCACTCACACCCCGTTCAACTGGACGGGGAACGGTGTCGCGGCCCCAGGAGAACGGAGGAGGGGGGTTCATCCACTCAGGGCGACCGGCGGTGGTGCGTGGAATTGATGGGCCAGAAGTCGCGTGCACTCGAGGCCGCTCCGTCGTCTTTTCGGACGTCTCCTGACGCGCAGAACCACCCCTCGTGCCCCTGCCGACCAATGTCACCTGCCCCGCGTCGTCGTCGGGATGAGGGTTCACGAGCACAGTGCGCGTGGCAGAAGATGGCTCCCGCTCCGCAGGCCAAATGTGAGATCCACCGGGGGGAGGCGTTCCTCTTCCTGGGCACCTTCGTGGAGGAGGGAAGTGAACGACTGCCTGTATTTTGCTCCGCGCCGATTAAACAACTGGCTACCCGTCCATTCCTGGGTCGACCCGCTACCCAGCGGAACTGTGTTGGACACGTCCACGTCCGCCTCCCCCTCGTCTGAATCGGGCAAAGGCTGCAGGTGAGGCGGGAGTCCTTCGTACGTCGACGGACCTGCCGCCCTTCCGTCTACACCGGTGCAGATCGCAGGCCGGTGGATGGCATAAGTGTCGGACAACGTGGCAACATTCGGCCGCCGCCCGTCCATGGCCACGCTCTTCCTCACCCCTCGTTTCCTGCGAGTACGTGAAGGCAACCTCCCCAATATGCACACCTGAACAAAGACGACAACTACAAGCAGAATCACGACGAGGACGACCAGCGGCAGCTTGCGGAGCACGTCGGCCATGTAACACAACCGTTCTCGCAAGGGCAACTAACGACGACAACGCACGACAACGTAACGTCTACCCAGATGGCGGCAAACAGCAGACGACAACCACACGACTGCCGRCGCCCTCYGCCGCTTTACATTGTGGACCACTGCGCGCGGTGACGGACGTACGCCGCTGTCATTTTCGAAACGGCTGGCCGTTGGAGGCCTTCCCGTTTCCCGCCGGCGCTGGTGAGGGCCCGGGATGAAACGGCAACGGCCAGGGACCCCGTCTGCCACCCAACCTTACCGTTGCGGTCGTTCCCGCCGGAGACGAACGTTGCCGGCCGCTAATGTCCGGCCGCACCTCGACTGGACCGCCAATGTACCAGACTACAAAATTCTGACGTTGTCGAAGAGCGCCGCCGCCGTCCCGAATTTCGCGGAAACTCCCACTCCGAGGGACCTCGCGAGGTACCTTGGGGAGCACAGCCAAATGCCTGTAGCCTGAGGACGGCCCGAGGACGCCCCGAGGAAATGTTTTCACATTGGTTTCCAAGGAAGTCTCTCCGAGGACAGATGGAACGATCATTTCCTCGGGATTTTTGAGCGCCCGAGGAGTGTCTAACGAGCCCCTGAGAAGGAAAATAAAAATAAGAAATAACGGCAGACGTGGCATGTTTTGAAACCCTAAAGGCAAAAAAAACTTGCGCCGGCAGAGAAACCACCAGCCAACTCGAAAAGAGCGAGTTCAGTCCAAAAGTATCAGTTGGGCATTATCATTTTTTTTTGTTGTTGTTTTCCCCTCTGACACTGCGGGCCTGCTGCAGACTCCTGTAAATATGACACCCGGTCTGACACCACGGCAGACAGTACTTTCGTTGCCTTTTTGAACTCGGTGCGGTTTTCATTGCCGACGCATGTTTTTTTTGCCCATTCGATACTCAAAGGTGACGTGAACGTACTTACCCCTAAAAATAAATGGAAACAGTGACAGTTGTACTGACTCATGGAGGCGCCAACTGGAACTCAGCCTTAGTCCAGTTCAGAAGAGTAGAAGGAATGTCGTTCTTCTGGGATGCTCAGACAATTGTCACAATTCTCACTGTTTTTTACTGCAACCTTCGGTAAATCTCTTGATGGGAAGCTGGACCCATTTTCCAGCAGGTGCTGCTCTCTACCAATAGATCGGAGCCCCATGGGATCTTCTGCTGATCCTTCTGGGCCGAGCTACACCTTGCTCACGACAGTGGGACACGTTTGCCACCAACCTGTTCTCAGACATGCGACTGACCCTCCTCATGTTGGCTTGGAGGATGCCGTGCTCCCACGAGCACAGCAAATGCCTGTTCGGTATCCCACGAGCAAGAGAGGAAGTCATGACCACTATAGCTACTTGCACGCAGGAGGCGTGGAAGGCGATGAGAGGGACTTGCGGGCTGCCAAGACCAGACTGAGAGGCAGATCTGCCTGGATTCCTTTCAAACAATTGGATAGACAGGCACCACTCCCTTTGCTCTCTAGATGTGCATCACAACTTGGTCTGGAACAGATGGGTTGTGAGTCTTGTGACAGACCCAACCTGGCAGAGACTCCAACTCTTGCAATTCCGAGTCCCCCCATCAAGAACAGAACTTTACTCTCCTCCTGGCCCTTTCTATGGTTCAAGTCACCCAACGCTGACTTTGAGTCCAGCATTGCTCCCTCTCCTTTACGCCCTCTCCATCCTATCTCCCGTTGCCACAAACCCTTTCCTCTCCTCGGAGGAGCCCTACCTGGTCCAGCATGGAGGAGCTAGCGCATGTGGAGGCCTGGACGCCCAGTGGCAGCACGAGTTCCTGCATGCCAGGAGGATGCAGCAACGGCATCAACAATGGAGGTACAAGCAGCATCGATCGACACAGATTTGCTGAGAGGAATTCTGGCAACAGAAAGATGGCACAAGGAGGTTCTACAGGGCGCGGAACTGGCCCAGCAGGACGGGACTGGGAACCCATCGAAGGGTGGATTTTGTTCACAATATTTGGGAAAATCTGTTATCTTCAGGGACGCTGGACCCAATTTCCAGCGAGTGCTGCTCCCCACTAACACAATGGAGCCACTGGCACTCGCAGTACGACTAAGAGGGGCTGCTCCTACCATTTAGAGGGGAAAAAAAAAAAAAAAACAAGCCGTGCGTCATCTGAGGAGGTAGTCGCCATCGCTTTTCTTTTTATTGCTTTTTTTCTTTTGTGTTTTTTGTTTTTCCCCAAACAGGTGGCTTGCCCGCCATCTAGAGATGGACCGTGGGGCCCCGTGATCTGTACTAAGCAGGATCAGCTTATGTCTGTGGGAGAGAGGGGACCGGAGGGGAGTATTGGCCACTCTGATGAAGCTCGGTCCTGATGCTACCGGCTGACACCTGGTCAGTACTAAGCAGGATCAGCTTATGTTTGTGGGAGAGAGGGGACCGGAGGGGAGTATTGACCACTCTGATGAAGCACGGTCCTGATGCTACCGGCTGAGCCCTGGTCGGTATCACCCACCTGCTCTAGCAGGTATTGCACCCGCCGGTCGGTGCAGCTCCCACATGTTCCCTCGTTTGAGGCTTGAGCATGGATGTGACTGCTACGGGGTTCCAGCAATACTATAATGATAATAAAAAAAAGGCCTGAAAGGTCGTCCTGTCCAGATATGGCAGGTAATTGAATTGATTGGACTTCAAAGATCAGTCTTTGACAAAAAAATAAAAATAAAAAAAAATCCAGGATGAGATCTCCACTTATCTGCCAGTACATGGCCCCATCCTTGTTTTTTTTTTTTTTTTTTTTTTTTGGTGAAACTTAGGTGGTGGCGGCCACTGTAGCCCTCCTAAAGTGGCCCTCCCTGTCAAGGCTCCATCTATTGGTGGAAAGCTCACCTGCTGGAAATCGGGTCCAGCGTCCCAAATGTGACATGTGCTACATTGCTCGTGCTGATGGTCCTGAGACTAACTGCGGCCTCCGTACTGCTTACAGGCTAGTCTTTTTTTTTTTTTTTTTTTTTTTTTTGGATAAATACTGGCTAACACAGCCAGGCCTGATGATAACAGCATACACACTTTTCTGCCTCACCGGTGGCTCCGTTCCAGCGGCACCCGCTGGAAACCAAGTCCAGCGTCCCCTTGAACATAAATTCAGGCTCCGAGCTCAGATATAAAGGAAAGGAAAAAAGGAGGAAATCACCTCTCCAGTCCTGCTGGACTGCCAAATACACTGCATCAAGCAAGCATTCCCTCCCCAGGATTAAACAGAAAAGATGAGCATTCAATCCCCCCCTCACAATACCATAGCATATCTACTAGGGCTGGTTCAGAAGCGGGAAAAGGGTCTGCAAAGAAATATGGAGATCTGAGCGAGACTCCTGGTTGAAGCTTTAACCAGTCCCAGAAGCTGAGCTTGAAGTCCCTCGTGAAAGGCACCTCAGACCCTTCCTCCCCTGGCCAAATCAGGTCATCCAAGCCCCCCCCTCTGCAGCCCAGCCAATCTTGAACGGAATGATTAATTGCTTGTTGACAGTTGTTGTACATCTTTTTCCTGTTGAAATTTGTATAATTTAGATGTAAGGCCTGGCCATTGTGCACAGATCTCTGTGTGTAAAATTGACAGCCAGCCCAACTAATTCAGGTCCCTTTAGGCTTACACCCTAACTAATTCAGGTCCCTTTAGGCTTACACCCTCTCTCTCCTTAACACAGAAGATCCACATGCTGCAGCGAGAATCAGGAACAAGCATAACAATCTCAAGAGCAGCAAGTGGTTGGGCACCATGCACAACCTGCAATTGCACGTTAGCAAACTTTTTGCTACTTCTCGATTGGTAATGATTGCACAGTCATGTTTGGATGTTGTGGAAGGGGCGGTTCCCACTACTTACACGCATCGGCTAGGGAAAGACCTCGTTGGGTATATATGCAAGATGTAGTCATCCTCGAGGCACAAAACCTCGTTTTTACAAGAGGTGGCAAGAAGCCATAGGCAGCACATGGTTCAGAGGTAGCAATCGTCTCAATGCACATGATGTGTTCGATGCCGAAGAGGAGGCCTATGCAAATGACCGCACTCTTTGTGACGACAAAAAATAGGATGCTGATACAACCTGTACCTCTTCAGCTTATGGGTTTGAAATTACTTATGAAGAATAAAACATTCATGCCCTTAAAACGGCGGCCAATACAAAGAGACCGATGCTTCCACCAAATCTTGGTTGGATCTCCTTATTAGTGAGGCTGATTGAAAGGGGTTTGCAGGAATTGTGAGAAACTGGGACATAAAGTCCACGAATGACTGGACGATGCTTCCACCAAACCCTGCCTGGTTGGATCTCCTTATTAGTGAGGCTGACTGAAAGGCTAGGGTAGCTCAGTTGGTAAGGCGTTCAAGTGGCACTTAGGAGGTCGTGGGTTCAACTCCCATTGCCAGCACGATAGTGCCTGTGGCATGCTTGGCGTCTTACCTTCGAGACGGCCAGTTGGTAAAAAGCAAGTACGTGGAGGTTGCGGGTTTGACTTTGTCAGCCCGCAACTTCCCCCGAGCACAATTGGTTGGTGTAGATTGCACCCCACGTACTCGGCCCGAGCCTAGCATACCACCTTTACAGACTAGTGACCTCAATAGCTCAGTGGTTAGAGCTCTGAGATTCTAACTTGGAGGTCCCGGGTTCAACTCCAATACACATAACACATAATACATAACTCATAGCTCATAATCGACTGGGAACTGAGGGGGCAAGGGGGGATGGGCTGGAGGTTTTCCTTGGCAGGAATCGGCCCTGCGACGAACTGGTGCGGGTTACGGAATCGATAACCTTGCCCCCTCAGCATGAACAATAACACAACCCTTAATACGGCAATAATCGAGAGTGTCGAAAGAGGAAGGCACTCTTTGCCGTCTGAACCAGGCTGACGGTACTGGGGAAGTCTGTGTTGCTCTGTAACCCTAGCATAGGGGGCTATGAGATCAGCTGAGTTCTGGTACGAGGACTGAACGCTTGGACTTAACGTTTTTTCGCTGGTTGAAAGGGAGGTGTAAACAGTAGGAGGTTTAGTTAGGATCTTCTGTTTCCAGGTTGGATTGTGGTAGGGTAGATCATAGGCAGTTTTTTCTGAGAACTGCAGTTGTTTCTCATAG